TCATTAACTTTGAAAGGCCTTCGACAGCATCGACTGAGAGGTGATTTCGCAACTACTTCGCTACTACGGGCTGCCGCCAACAATTTTACATGCAACACAGGTGACTCAGTAGAACTGTTAACAACGTGGAATGTAATTCTGGGTACAAAATAGTCAATATATGACATTTAAGATAAAAAATTATATATCAATTAAAATAAATCCCAATAGTCAGCGTGATCACAGGCAGCAATTTCAACCGAAATATTTACAAAATCAAAAGCTTATCACTGTGTATAAACAACAATTGAAATATGATTATAATTCATTTATCTGTTCCAAAATGCGCAAATGCCTAACAGATATTAATAGAAAGCATGCCCACATGGTCACGGTGTCAGTATGCAATGTTGACGATTACAGTAATTCATGGTTTCTTATTAACACCGATGCATTTGAATGGCTGGAGTTTGAAAGTTAGTTGAAAACCGACACACGTAATCTCAACGGATCGAATCTTGGAAATGACTACTTTTTGTTGGCAAGTGTCACATATCGGTTTGCCTGAATCTATAGTTTGCAACTGTTATTTCATCCATCGAAATGAATCGGATTTCACGCATTTCATATTTTTAACTACACACCAATGTCGATAAGTTGTGGCCTGCTCTGGCACATAATTTCAAAAGTGGTTTCAAAACACTCATGTGCATTTATTGTAGGTAATGAATGAAAAACAGTGACGGAGTATTGGAGCATGTTCTGCATGGAACAGGATTGCTTCAAGTGATACACTAGCAGTTATCAGATTACTTGAAGATCTTGTACAAGGAGTAAGTAAATACCTTGAGATGAAACAAACTGAAAATTGGGTACCATGTTTGAAACGATATTTTCAGAATCAGGATAATAAGCATAATACCGTTGTCAGTAATAACAACCAGAGAGTGCTGCACCTTTGATAACAAAGTATCTTACAAAGTATCATCTCAGATGATCTACGCATTCGCTGTATGCAAGAATGTTTCGTATTACACCGGTGACTAACGCACACCACAGATCACACATGAAAATCATACTTGTTCATTCTCATAATAAATGTTACTTGATTGCAAATAGTACTCTTGATGCAGGATTTAACACTCAGAATGCATTACAATGTTGAATCTATTAAAGCGAAAGCTAGACGATGGTGACTTTGTGCTTGAGTTCGTATATTGCATAAGTTTAATATGGATTTCCAGCTGAAAAACTGCGTCGGACAAGAAAATTGAAAAACTAGGGAAGTAGCGCACGAATATATGACCTACATTTCATCAAAGACAAGTTGGGACACAAGAGGTTTAGAAATCGTGGTTAAGGGAGTACTGAAATTTCAAGTCAAGAAGTATTAACCTCTTGACTCTCTCGCTCTATCTATCTCAGTCACTCTTTTTAAATAAATAATGTTAGTAGTGGCTATTCCGATTCACCCATGAAAGTGCAATTGTCCCACTTCTGAAAATGAAATCACCCAAGCGATAACTCCGCTTAGCCTCAAGCTTTCCCTCCAATTTTATCACGAATTACTCAGATTGTGACAAGTCCATGAGACAGAGGAATTCGATTCAAAGTTGTTTTCATAGTTTTGTTGGGATCATTCAATAAACCAGATACACTGTTAACCCATACTACGTGTTCGGAATGAAATAGTTAAAATAAGTAGATGTGAGCCATTTGAGTGTTTTAGAAATTCGAGAATAACTACGGTTGTTCACACTCTATTATTTATTTTAATCAATGAAGCCAGACAAAATAAGACAGCTTCTGAGTCCAAATTAGACAATTTTTTTCGTAAAATTGATAACGGCTTCACAATTAATTGACCTAACTCAAAGAACACAATTACGTGGAGAAGCCTCTAAATGAACCAGGAATCAAATCCATTATTTTGACACAAATTGCTCCTTCCATTCGACATAAGCATCGTTCTTCGGTCAATAGCCTTCTCAAATGAAGTAATTAGTATATTCCTCCTTACTGAATTCTCAGATACCTAAATGTGCTTGCTGTTAACCTGTGGTACACACATACATACATGCATACAAACAACCACATGAGAACAACATGCATAATAAGACGATTATGTGAAAAAAAGTCATTTTGTGTGAAGTGGAATCGCATTTAGAGTGAGAATGGACTTTGATCCTTCAATATGTAAAAATGCGTCAATAATCATTACAGAGATCGAAATATATACGTATATATACAAATGAGAAAATACGTGAGAATATTCTCGAACGGACGTAAATTCGAAACTCGGAGGTACAAGAAGTAAGTGAATTTCAGTTGCATCTTATTTCTCATTTGCTGTCTGTTTGTTTGACTTATTACTAAGTAAGCTTAAATATGAATAGTAAGGTGATGATTTTAGTCTGACTTTGATCATGTTCGAGGTATTTCACTTGAGTGTGAATGTAGGAAGAACGCTCAATCAAATTTAATTGGATTTTATGGATCTAATCAATGTGGTGTGTTTCGTGTGTGATGACTAGATATCTAATAAACTCAGAACTCGGTAAGGCAAGCGGATGTAAGTGATATTCTCATTTATCATCTCCCGTCTTGTAGCAAGGTGTCATCGTCTGATACTTGTATGCATATATTGACTCTGTATATATGGCCAAATGAAACCAGTGTTTCTCTGATGCTGAAAAAGAATTCCCGTAGGCTGTTTCCTCAAAGTTGATATCGTGTTTGAGAAAGATAAATGAGATTTTCTTCAACCCACTCAATTTCGTAGAGCACTCTCTTCCATACTATCACTGACTCCATCTCATCAACATTCCCAAACAGGTGTATTTCTCAAGTGTTACGGAACCTGAATTATGTTCAAATAATCTGACAGTCATATCCACACCATATTCTCAGTTGGCATATTCGGAAAGTCTAATCTATGTGTCCATTTTCATCATGTATATTCTGAGGTGATTAAGTTACTTCTGCGCCGTTGTCTTTTATCATTTTCTTCGTCAATTTCAGCTTATTGGAAAATGCCACGGTTTTATGCATCGTATGAGAATTCCAAGAATAAAAACGAGAGGCTACATCGAATCCCTTTTCCTGACAACATTTGGGTAAGATGCAAATGGATTGATGAGTGAGTAATTTTATTCTTAGATCGCAATAGATACACTTATTATGATTATGGTGACAGCTGGTGTTGTCCTCTTATTCACTTTCGTGTAAGAACAGATAAAATTTTCCAATGAAATATTATCTTGGTTGTAGGGACGCGATTCAGCGATTCTTCGAAAGGAATTCTTGGGTGAACTTTATTATTATGTAAGTTCTCTGCTCAACATTATTTATCGAATGTTCGATTGAATTCATCACACCTTGACAAGTGGAATTCATTTGTGAGACAGAGCAGTAATCCACTTCACAGTACTCTCGATAACTAAATTAGTTTTAACTGAATTGTCAGGAATAAGGGAGTCTTAATTTATATTAAGGCCTAAAGGTATGCGAGAAGCTGGTTTTCACCTGTATTCAGGTCATCGATTACACATTTCGCTACGTAGGTTGAATTCCACTAAAGTGTGTAATTAAGCTTCAAGGATAAATATTGAAACAGTTGGTTCATACAATAATCAGTGGAATGAAATCCAAAGAGTAGAGTATTTGTAGAGAACCGATGACTGAAAAAGTGTGACATAGAAGTCCCTAGCAATGGTGGACATCACAATAATCAATACCTTATATCAAGAATGCTACTGAATTTTCGTCATGAATATTATTCACATGGTGACATGATGCAAACCATTTGTCAAGATTTTATTCGATATTTTCGCTAAAACCTCTGATCAGCTGATATTTCAACATAATTTAAAGTCATATTTGTAAAAATAAATATTGATACACAATTCAAACCTCTCGCTCAACAGATTGGAAATGATGGAAGGTAAACCGTCTATGGTATAAATAACAGGGTGAATTTGGGCCTTAATATCGTTGACAACATAAATACAAGCAGTTCAGAGAAGAGTCTCTTTTGAATTGTTTCGTTCTCTTCACTTGAGTATTCGCATTAGGACGGATCCATCGGTACGAAACCTACATGGAACGAATAAACTGAAAGTTAAAATAGAGAAGGATCGTCACATGATTGGTGATAATATTAATGAGTGCATATAAGAAGTTGTATAAGGTCGACAGAAATAACTAGTGAGATAAGAAAAATTACTATAAGTATTTTGATAAGAATTGACATGGAAACAAAGGAAATACTATGTTCCATTCACGGCCAACGACATCTTCCACAGACAAAATTATTGGATTTCAATGAGATCTCACTTGAGTTCCTTCCTAGCAGCCTGTTTCATGACAAGTCACAGGAATGGTCCACGTAAGTTAAATATTGATAGGTTTCAATTGTGTCCTAGATATGTGGATGACATTTTTATTAACCCTGATGATAGTCATGATCACAATTAGTAGTGTTACACATGTTCAACAGCTGCAGTCCACCAACAAGGCTCACTGTTTCAGTAGAAGATGAATCTTCAATGCCTTTTCATGAGGTTGAATTTACACGAAGAACCTACGGGTCTTCAGGAAGATCGGTCAATAAGAGAACCTTATTGAACAGCCAACTGATAAGTTTCTACAGCTGAATAGGAAATGAATGTGAATCGAACAGCTCAAACGCTCTCCAAGAAGAATTAGAGATTTCGGAAAGAAATCTTCCAAAATGGACATACACCGAGGTTTACTGTCGAGAAGGTCACGCCAAAAATTTGAAGACTGAACAAGTAATCCATGCAAAATACGAAAGCTTAGATGAACTTTGACGTTTACGGCAACCTAGTTATTGATGTTCTTAGGTGAGGAATTTCCGTTTCAAAGAGGATAACTATCTTCACAGAAACGCTAAGAGTGGTGTTCATCAGTTGGCTACTGGTGTGGAAGAGCCTAATGGACAAGATCTCACATCTGACTACTTCCATGTGCACACGTCAGTTCACCTGTTCTTCTGGAGCCAAATATATGCATCGTTCAATGCGGATCCTATTGTTTTCAGTTAATTATGTTGGATTACTTCATTCGTTTGACTGTTTTTGACTCACTTCTCCTCCAGAACACCTAGGTAACATTAAATTCTCTTTGTTTTTCTGTATGCATCCTGATTAAAACCACCTGTTAAATTATACATTTCACCTTTTCATAACGAGGGTCTACCAAAGTTTTCATCCACTGAAATGCCAAATTTCTACAGTATTTCTGATTGTTATGACCATGCAATTGTATCAGATGATCACTACATGCACTCGCCCACATATTGAAATAATTTTCAGCGGAAGGCTGCTCAGCTTTTCGAGAAAATGAAAGAATACAACTGTACACAGTTGGTTCTCTCTTCATATGGAACAACGCTATATCACACGACATACTTAACATGTAAATCCTGTAGGAAGATAAAATATTTTGAAACGCCGAAAATTTCTGCACTCTGTTTTCGCATATTGTCTGAAATATAGACTTGCTATTATTGCGTAATTCTATCTCCCATATTCAACTTCTCATTTGCATTGAATACTAATAGCAACTGTGGATGTGTGTTGTGATTCTTCCTTTTGTCACTGTTCAGAACCTTGCTGAATTCTATTGTGCAGCTTAAGAAAGTCAATTCATCGAGAAGAGACTCTCCACTGAACTGCTTGCACTGATTTTGTCAGCGATATTAGGGTCCAGATGCACCCATTTATTTATAGTTTAGACGATTTATCTTCCACTATTTCCAATCTGTCGAGTGAGATGTTGGAATTATTTGTCAATTTTTATTTCTGCAAAAATGACTTCTTCTTACTTTGAGATATCAGCTGATCAGAAGTTTTAGCGAAATTATCGAATAAAATCTTGACAAGCGGTTTGCATCATGTCACCATATGAATAATATTCATGACGAAACTTTAGTTGAATTCTTGACACATGATATTGATTATTGTGATGTCCACGACTACTGAGGACTTCTGTGTTACTAATGTTCTGTGAAACGGTTTCCAGATATAGTGTACTCAATAAATGTCTTCTCAGTGTCTATATATTTGATCATTTGCTTTGATCTTAGTGAATCGTTGTCTCATCTTGATAACCACGTCTGATTATGTTCAGACATGCACTGGGAAGTTTTGTATTTATTTTGACGGTCAGTAGAACTAGCCACACAGGACCAAGTTTATATATAAACAACCATGGAGGAGTTGTTAGTTTACACTTTCCGCGTCCGTCGGTCTACTAACAACTGGACAGTGGATCAACCTTAGTCAGTTTACAACCAATTTCAACCTTCTGTGGCTTACTTCGACTCGAGGTAATAGTTGTTCAGCCAAGTAAATTCGGGTCTTAAGAACAGTCACTTTGGTGATAAAGAGATTCGCCGAATAATAATGACAATGATAATAAGACCATCTGTCCGAATATCTTGACTTTCTGATGATATTAAGTTTTCGTCTATCATCTGGTTGTCGTCCGACAAACCAGTTAAGAAACATCAAATTTTGTGTGAATATGGCTCAACATATTTCCGAAGCTTAACACTGTTTGCGATGTTGTTTCTCACGTGAAGATTTTCATCTACGACTCTACATTTAATGTTGTCCGAAGGTGTTATTTACGTATTTCGGGTGATCATAGCCTCACGAAGTTGCAGCTGTTTCCAAGGAGTGGATGCACAGATTGGTCAGTGATGGCGATACTGGTTGTTGCACAATAATACCATCTGTTTCACGTGTAGATATCTCCTCTATATTTGAACACTGTTTGATCTGAACACGCTTCTAGTGAATTCATAATTTCTCCTTTCCCTGAAAGACATCTAACGCATAGTCCACTGTCTGAAAATGGTGAATGAAGAAGACTTGGAAATATTTCATCTCATCCAATATAGATTGATACAGTTCTGCTCTCAGATTCCTGCAAATTTCTATACTCAATACACGGCTTGCATTTCATATAAATTTGGTATTCAAGGAGTGTATGTTAAAGCATTGTGTGTTAGAGAGTCAGTAGGTAATAAAGATGGACATAATGGATGATCTGGTTCGTAAATATTTTGCAATTCATCAGATCTACACCGATGGAAACATTTTGGTGCAGGTTATCTCTACAGTGACACTTTGATTTCCCGTTTAACAACTCGGACATTTTGATTGTTTCAGCTTTTAATATTTGCAAACTTCCACTTCACTCTGTCTCATCGTCTTTTACGCAGAGTTCAGTGCTACGATTTTCCGTAAATACTTTTGCTTCCTGATGAGGTTGAAATAATTTGTCTGAGTTCTGCTGTGTTTTGAAATTAAGTCAAATATTGATCATAGTTGGTATAAAAGACAAAACAATTCAGTTGCAATTTTGTCATTTGTGTTACTGCTTCCTCATATGAACAACTTCCATTCTACTGATCATAAAATATTTTCGATTCTACAACATCCCCACCTAAAGTCACTTTGTCTAATCTTCAGTTAAATTATTCATATTTCAAGGGCTCATGAGAAATGGAAATTTTCAAATACAGAAGTCTCCTCTGACTTGCTTTCATTTTCCCATATCATTTGTAAACCACAATCGACGAGTTGTTTTCACTCATTTGTCGACTCAGCAGAGAGATTAAGCCAGGTACCGTAGCATTTATGTTTTCCGTTGCTCAGAAAACGGTGATGTTTACTACATCATCAAATCAGAGATTTCCGCCTACATTGAAAACGAACGAGTGATTTCATGAAGCACCGGGCGAATGAAGCCTGTGACAAATGGAAAGTTGACGTCGCAACCGAAGAATGGATTCGATATACCGAGATCATAACACTGAAAATCATTTCTATTGAAAATGCAACTTGATTATTATGAACTGTGATACACTAACCAAAATAACGCACAATTCCGATTAACTGTGCAATATCTGTGACGAATTGTTGATGTTTGTGAATTCATTTCAGAGGAGTCAGTTCGTTTGTGCTCTTGATATTCGCGTTGGTGCCAAAAGTTCGATCACGACCAATTGGTGTCTATATCATGCTTTCAATTTTAGTAAGTGTAATTTTTTAAACCGAGCAAAAAATTGTGAGGATTTACGCTTACTTGTTTTTGACTGAATGGATGTCATTTGGCGTGGTATTTGAATGGGTCTACACTCACCTCTAGTGACTCTCCCGTTGACGTGTCCCATCCAAGAGAGGGACAGGCAATGCAAGCTCCGAAATTCAGATTATGATTCTATTTGACAACAAAGAACTTCATTAGAATACATCGTCATCATCCTCAACGATGGATGATGAGGTATTAATATTTTCCACTGTTGAAATCTTAGCCATTCTAGTTGTCAGGCGGTAATTAGTCGGCCAGTGCAGCTAACTGCAGTTTGCAGAGGTAACTCTTGTCAACATGTATAGGATGATCCACAGTTCACAGAATGACAGTAACTTCTAACGGATTGTTTATTTTTGTTTGATCGTCAGTGATGAGAATGTGGCTTATCTGTTTGTCCATTCAGCGTTGAAAATTTACCGTATTTCTGTAGTCATTGTAAATGTGTGTGTCTATATATATGTCTATGAATCTATCTAGTGTGATCACATGTTCTCATTTCGCTTTCCCCTTTGTCATAGATCGCATTGTTGTCTGTGGGATTGGCTGCCCTTTTGTCACCTGTTGGACTGAAAGCTGGACTCATATCTCTGGCCTGTATACTTGTGGTGGAAATTCCAATAGTTGTGTTGGCTATGCGCATGCGTCGAATGAGTGAAATGGGGCTGATAGTGTTCAACTCGATCACAATGTTTTTAGTGATTGTGGGAGTCATCTTGAGCATTTCGGATGTGTTCTTCGAGCAAAATGTAATTATATGATTTGACATTTTATTGCATGAATTATTTGCATAAGTTTTTTATCAAAACTCATGAAATCTTCGCTTCATTCAGAAATATCCCACTGTACTCGAATCCCAGTATTAATTCCATAATTTGGAATTTTATTCGATTCCTACCGTGAGGAAGAGCGTAGGAGGAGCGGCAAGTGCTATAGGATGAGATGATGCCATTTCGTGAATGAAACGAGGAAGATATTTCATAAGGAATTGGTTTGCGCTTTAAGCCAGACACCTATGTGTCGCCCATCTACTGTCATTTGCTTCTGTATATAAAGATCCTGGACAAGTGGAAACTATTATGCGATGCTTTCCACTGAATTTTCTGTGCCTTATAGAAATTCTGTTTACACTAAGACTAACGTTACTCTTATCATTTCACAGTCTCTTCCTAGTGTCTCCTAGTGCGGTGACAAGAAACAATTGATGGGAGTATCAGTGACGAATTCCTCGGGTGATTAACTTTCCATTAAGAGAATATTTACAGAAGCCTGCTAGCGGAAACCTGCATTGCTCCGATTTCGTCAGGCAGTCTCCATTAAACGATTCAGATCAAAACTATGTGAGCAGAAAGAGACAATGGTAGACCTTCGACTATCCTGCCCATTAAACTTACAAAACCAAGTTTACGAAAATTAATTTTCGGTAGTTAGTTAACCGATTGCATCTTCAATTTCATGCATGTCAAATATTGTTTTCATTCGAAACAGCTTACAGTGAATTTCTTTTCAAGAATATTCCACTGGTCATCCTATGAATAGTCAACACTCTTGACTGTTGGGCATATTTGACAGCTTACATCCTTCTGAGAAAATAACACTACTACTTATCATCGCCTCAAACCTACATGAAATATTACGTGTACTCCATATTTTTGGATGGATCTGGTTTCAGCCAGCTGGGTGTAAGGCGTGAAATGATAAAGAATGGCATCATTTCATACTGGTACATTTGTCGTTCATGCTGTCTCTTCGAATTCTACATTTTGATTGGAAGAGTGATGAGCAATTTGACATATTAGCACCTAACCTCGTCTACAGTCAATTTCCTTATCACATATATGTATGGAATTTGGCTCGTTTGGCAACAATTCACTGGTGTGACTGTCACATTCCACGGAATATATATTTGACTAACAGGGATGCGACAGTAGTCGAAGTGGCCTAGTGTATAATGACATTTCTGTTGCCAGATAAGAAATGTGAAGTGATGCAGTAGTTGTTTATATTGAGTGAATGACATATATTCGCATATTTTAGCCTCACCACATGCTGCCAATGTCATTGATAGGTGTGATTCAACTGTCAGAATGTTCCGATAATAGTCAGTGTCCACAGATCTCAGATCAGTAGATATGTCAATGTTGTAATTTGCATACATTAACAAAGCTTGAGTGTACCTCTTCCCTGATGATTTATTTCATTCTCCTCATATTTTCCACGCAGATAATTGTCTTTATGGCAGTAGCTTTCTGGATATTATACCCACTCTTCGTAAGTTTATCATTTTATCGCTGTATCAACCATGTTTATTTTGGCGAGTAAATTGCACGAATTACATCAGTTATTTGATAGTCGCAGAATTGCAGTGTGAATCACAGTATCGCTGAGTCGATTTGTGTTCATATTACATTAGGTGGCAAGTCAACGCATCCTCGATTTCGATAGTGTATTTTTGGAGAAGATGATGTTGTAAACTGTTACACTTGAAATTATGGTAAAGTCCCGTTTCTTCA